GGTTGTTACTGTTTGATGTTATATAAAATGAGTAGGGTTGCCATTTGTCACGAAGTTTTCAACCGACGGAAAGAAGGGAGAAGTTGATCGATTCGACGCGCATATATTTTTATTTATTTCGTCGACGTCCGTGGCCGAGTGGTTCGTACGTCGGGTTTCATGGTGTCGCCGACTCGAGAGGTCCCGGGTTCAAATCCCGGTGGGGGCAGATGTTTGTGTGATGAATACGAGCATTTGTACTCCAGTCACGGATGTTTAATATGTATTATCTATAAAAATATACTCATACTAGCGGCCCGCCCTCGCTTCGCATCGGTGTAGAGCTGAAATGTAGACTACAGTTATTGTTCTCAGGCTTGTATTATACACAATGACATTCATCTATGATTCTTCTTATATCTGCATGCAAAGTCTCAGCCCGATCGGTTTAAAATTGACAAAGTTTCATACAAACTTTCATTTCCTATTTTATCCCTTTGGGGGTAGAATTGATCAAAATGCTTTCTTAGCGGATGCCTACGTCATAACAACCTGCATGCCAAATTTCAGCCCGACCCATCCAGTGGTTTGGGCTGTGCGTTGATATATCTCTATGTCAGTCAGTCACCTTTGAGTTTTATATATATAGATATGTACAGTATATGTATTCTATCCGTTACCCTAGTATCCCATAACACAAGCCTAATAGTGCTTACTTTGGGGCTAGGCTAATTGGTGTGAGTGTTGGAAATATTTATTTTTTTATGTATGACTAGCGGCCTCCCGCGATTTCGTTCGCGGTAACTTTTAGTTTTTTTTAGTTTATTAAAAGTTTTTTTCTAAAATAAAAGTAACCTAAGTGACTCCTTATGACATAACCTACCTGCCAATAAAAGTCCTGTCAAAATCGGTCCAGCCATTTCAGAGATTAGACGGGACAAACAGACAAACAAAAATTGTAAAAAAATATATTTCTGTGTCGGGACCCTTGGTCCGTGGGGTCCTAGCGCTGTAAGGCTTTTTAAGGAAATAGCAAAAAGGTTGGTCGACCTCACAGGAGGCCGAAGAGCTGGCAGGTGCCTCGGACAAAGAATTAGTTTAGCTATTCAAAGGGGGAACGCTGCCAGTATCTTTGGAACCTTGAAATGAAATGAAATGAAATATTTATTAAAACCATAACAAAGATACAATAACAATAGTGATCGATAATAACTGCATTAGTTATAAAACTGTGTCGCAGTTATTAACGCCCACCTCCAGAAAACAATTTTTCGCTATAATAATTTTAATCTTAATCCTAATTTAATATTTAAAAAGGAATTAAATGTGTGTATGTGTGTGTATGTATGTGAGCGTGTGTGTGCGTGCGTGTGCGTGCGTGCGTGCGTGTGTGTGTGTGTGTGTGTGTGTGTGTGTGTGTGTGTGTGGGTGGGTGTGTGTGTGTGTATGTGTGTGTGTGAGGTATGTATAGACCAAATTTACATTAGATGATCAGGCCAAACCCAATAAAGCACCAAATAATGCCTCTGTATCAGAATATGTGAGGCTTTGAAGCCATTCCATAGTTTTTACCCTGCATTTTCTAAGAGTAAGAGGAAATATATTCAGAACTCCGTTTACCTTGTTGTATAAAACAGAAGATATAAAGCAGAAGTGGCGTCTAGCTACATTTAATCTTACACTGCCTGTCTTACACAAAATGTAAGGTCTACGTCTACTCAACGAAACATGGTCATCATATGGCATCTGCGAGTGTTTACGTAGTATTACATTAAGTAAGTAAATCTGTCTAACTGACAAAACATTAAAAAGTGTATAGAGTTCAGATGTTGGAAAGGTAATTGGTTTGAAATTAATCATTTTAATAACAGCCCTTTGAGCCCTTTCCAGACGTAAGAGGTGAGTTTTACCTGAACAACCCCAGACAACAATGCAATATGATATAATTGATTGCCCCAAAGCGTAATAAGTAGTCCTAAGAGTTCCCAAATCTACGACATTTCTAAGATTTTTAAATATGAACATTAACTTCCTGACTCTAGCTACTGTAGTATTAATATGTTCCCTCCAAGACAAAACAGCGTCAACCCAAACACCAAGGTATTTAATGTGAGGAGCACGCTGGATTTGCAAACAGCTACAGTTTTTGCATTCGTTTACTCGTGATTGATGAGCGCGAATGGTAAAAGAAGAAGATGGAAGAGAGTGTGAACGTGCTGCAAATGTAATGAATTTGGTTTTGTCTAAATTGAGGGTTAGCAAATTTATGGATAACCATTTCATCACTTCCTGTAGTGCAAATTCAGCGTTTGAAGAAACTTCACTCCAGGTACTTCCATGGATTATCATAGCAGTATCATCCGCATATACAGTGATTTTGCAGTTTGGAAGAATCAATTTACAGAGGTCATTGATGTAGATATTAAAAAGGGTAGGACCTAGGACACTCCCCTGCGGAACACCGTAACTGATATGTTCATCCTGACTTGTAAAATTGTGTATCCTAACACACTGCGAACGCTCACCAAGATAACTTTTAAAAATATCCAGCGCAACACCCCGAACACCGATCCTCGACATTTTTTCAATCAGAATAGGGACAGAGACAGTGTCAAAGGCTTTAGAAAGATCCAGGAATACGCCAATTGTCTTGTGTTTTGATTCAAGGTTCCTAACTACCGATTCGCTTAGTTGTAGAACTGCATCATCGGTTGATTTATTTTTCCTAAAACCAAACTGATTTGGCGCAATAATGTTATTTGCATCAAGATAATTGATGAGTCTTTTGTTTAGGATCTTTTCCAGGATCTTAGACAATACCGTTAAAACCGAGATAGGCCTATAGTTTGTTACACTGCCCTTGTCCCCATTCTTGTGAATCGGGTGTACAAGGGCTTTTTTGAAAGCTGTTGGAAAAATACCGGACGTGATACACAGGTTAAAAACATGCACAAGAACAGGGACCAATGAAGTCTTGGCAGTTTTAATTATAGCAGTAGGGATCCCATCCCATCCAGTTGCAGAAGTATTTTTTAAATCATTAATAATGCTTTCAATTTCTTTACCATCTGTAATAAAAAGGGACATTGAATTTAATGGTGAATTTTTTTCTGAAATTACAGCATTTTGTGGTACAGAAATACTGAGAGCCAAATCCTTGCCAACATTGGCAAAGTAATGATTTACTGCATTTACTGCACAATTTGGGTCATTTGAAAGCGAAAGAAGTTGATCGGCATGTGTGCTCGATTGATTAATGTTGCCTATCTTTTTTATAAGAGCCCAGGTTGCTTTTGGATTATTTTTTGTCTTAGCAAATTCAGCTTGTTCATATACTCTTTTTACTCTTTTTATTAAATTATTTAAGAAGTTTTTATATCTTATGTAGGAAATCTTTAGAATCACGTTATCAGGATATTTTCTTGTTCTATGAGATAGTTTATCACGGTTTCTCAAGCATCTTAACAAACCTGGTGTGATCCAAGGCTTAATTATTCTCTTTTTACTTGAGGTCGACACTATATTTGTATATCTAGTTACAATGGATGAAATTAAATGAACAAGTTTATTAGTAGCCTGATCTGCGTCATGGCAAGAGAAAATAGGTGAGAAATCGACGTGTTGTAGCTCCTGGGTACATGCTTCTATATTGATATGCTTGCGAGAGCGCTCAGGGTTTGTTGACCTAAGTTTTAGGCCACAGCAAAGTATTACGGGTGCGTGATCGGTAATAAATGAGTCCAAAACAAATGTAATAGCGCTAGATTTGGTCCTGAGTATTACATGATCAAGACAGTTACGACCTCTTGTAGGAAAATCATGAGCTGGCAGCAAACCATAAGACGCAGTAATATTCAAATATAAGTCTGAATTGGGATCTGTGTTGGCTGGAGTAATATTGATATTAATGTCCCCCACAATAGCAATACTGGGATAATTACCAATACTTTTTAAGGTGGCGTCCAGCGAATTCATGAAACCATCAGTATTTATATACGATGGTGAGCGATATAGAGCGATTATTGCTAATTTATCTGTAAATTTTAAAATTAAACAGTTTGCACCACTAAAGCAGGGTACCTCGAAAGAGAACGGAAGGTTTTCTCTGACGTATGCTACTACTTCTTCGTTTTGGTTACCATATGAAGTCATACACGAGTTGAAGCCGGAGAGTCTCGGCAAAGACGGACATACGCTTAACCAACATTCAGACAAGACTATTATATCGACTGAAATAGATATACGCTGTAATAGTGTTAATAAATTACAGAAATTTCTGCCTATACTCCTAATATTTACCTGAAGAATGTTTAGGTACAAAGTTTCATCTACATATAGTTTACAATCTTCAGGACAACAGTTATAGAATTGAGATACATGTATTTGTTCAATTTCATTTATAATGTTTAAGTTTTCTGACATGATGTGGAGTATTTGTTAACTTATTATTTCTTAAAAAAGATAAATATAAAGAATATACAAAGTAAATAATAAAAAAAAAAAAAAAAAAATACAAATTTCTGTGATAACAGGATGACTTCAGTGTCATAGGAATATGTAAACTTTTGATTTTAGGTTTCTCAAAGGCTGTATATAGTTGATATAACAAACGCACAGTGCAAAAGCAATTGATTATACACTGGTACGTCTGAAACTCAGTAACAGGGAGAGTAAGTATAATAAATTTAAAGATGCAGTTATCAATAATTAATTTATAGTTTGGCATTGGTATATGTAAAAATATAATCAAGGGTTTATAAAATAAATGTGTAAAATATTTTGTTATGGGTATGTATACTTGATAGTGTAAATATGTAGTGTAAGTCTGACGTGTGTTTGTGTTTAGTTGTGTGTATGTGCTAAAGAAAATATTTTCACAAGACAAAATAACAACAAAAATCAAAATATTTACAATTAATTACCAGACTAAGGTTGTATCTTAAATATTTTGTGATAACAATAGGTTTTCGGTGCGTATAAACATATTGATATTTCATCACTAGTTTTATAAAAGTAGATAGTCATATTTGCAATTGTAAGTTAGTTAAATCATTTTCACATTTAATCATATGATGATCAGTGCCATCGGTTTTGCGCAGAAAAATTTTTCCGTGAGAGACCCAACAGTATTTAAAATTATTCAATTTTGCAAAATCACGACATAAGTAAAATAACTTTTTCATCTTGGTTGAAAGATTTTCCGAAATAAAAATTGGCTTGGCGGGACCACTGATTTTAAGGGTTTCTGTAGTAAGTTTCCCTTTATTTTTATTGTAAATTTTGAACTTTTCAATTACTTTGTCCCTTGTTAAGACACTGATGAAATCTACAATTATAGGCCGGTTTTCTGAGACTCTGGTAGAAAGACGAAAAACATCTTTTACTTCATGTGGTTCTATTTTTAAATTAATTTCATTTATGGTATGTAGAACAGTGCTTAATAAAGATTGTTTAGACTCTTTCTTAACTGGTGGAATATTCCTTAACTCAATACAAGTGGATCTCAAACCACTTTCAAACTTGTCAATTTTTTCTTCCAACTTTTGTATGTATTGAATATTTTCACGACGTTCCGCCTGAAGTGTATTAATTTGTTCCACAAGAGAATCATAACTGTGCGACAAAAAGTCTATGGAGTTACGTATTTCATTGTTCTGGTTCTTTATTTCCTCAAAAGAAGAGAACATTTTTTCAAATTTGTTGAACTTTTCCTCTTGCTGATTTTTAAATTCGATAAACATAGCTTTCATTTCTGACATAAAAGATGTTAATTGCGAGTCGGTGTTGTCATCAGGGTGTTTTCGCTTTGCGCGATGGCTTACATGTGTTTCTTTTTGTTCCCCTTGACGCTCAGTAGTTAAGTCGGATTCAGAGCGACAATGTTGTATAGGTTGCGCAAGCGTCGATAGTGGCGGAGGGGTGCGATCGACAGGCATATCTATAATCAGTACCAGGACACTATAATGTCTAAAGAACGGTAGTCTTAGCACAACGTATTCTTCTACTAGTGGGGTCCACGTAATCTGGTGGGTCGCGGCGCTTTAGTACAAATTACCTTTCCGTCCGGTATAACTTGGCCGGTACAATGTGTAACGGAGACAGTAATATACGATGATTGTTCTTACGTGTGTAGTGCGTGTGATGCTTGGGCGGAGCTTGGCGCGCAGTTTACTCGAGTCACGAAGTAAAGTCTTGCGTTTTATGCACTCCTATTATTTTGACTAATTATTGCTTAAAATACTAATAGTCAAAAGTACAGATAATTTGCGCGTGGAATGTAACTTAGACACGTCTGATCACCTCAGATGTCCGGAGGGAAGGGGATCTTTGGAACCTTGCCGAAAGGGACTCCTTTTATAATGTATTTTAGTTATTATATATGTTTTTTTTAATAATGTATTTTAGTTATTCTATATTTTATGGATTTTAGTTATACATTGTATTTGTTCTTTAGTTAAATTATTAAATTACCTCCATTATTATTATTACTTTGTTCAAATATTTTTTTTGGTGTATGTACCGTATACATATTCATATGCATGTAGTAAAAAGCGGTTATTTCAATATTACAAACAGACACTCCAATTTTTTTACATGTATAGTTGATGATCACGCATAACTTTTTAAAGAGTAGTCCGATTTTGATATATATATATTTTATACTTCGAAGTTTTACCTTTATAATTTGAAAAAAAGAATTCCAAAAGAATTTCAAAAGAATTCTAATGGTAGGGAAACTGACTGATTGTTCACCCGCTGATTGCAATGTATGACCACGCATAACTTTTTAGAGAGAAGTCCGATTTTGAAGTTTCTTTTTGTATTGGTGGACTATAACCTCAAAGTTGGTCCCAGATAAATTTAGCAACAAAAATCCTAACCTAAGATGGGAAAATAGGGGTGATTTTTCACTCACAGATTTTGATGCTGAGCTGTATATTACAAAAAAATAAAGTCCCAAAAAATATAAAATAAAAAACTTTTAACAAAAAAATTTAACCGCTGAAACAACTGAAGATAAGAATAATGATAAACCTTTATTATTTTAAGTCAAATTAATATTTGGAGTCGGTGCCATGCATGTCTGATAGATCTGAGTTCCTACTACTTGGGTTGGCATCGTACCGACACTAAATATGTGACTAAAGATAAAAAAGAGCAAAGTTACTAGTTTAGTGACTAGAATTAGTCTTAGTTTTATGGCTGCCGCTATTTTGTGTTAAGAATGGTATCAGTCAATTCCAGCTCCTCCAGGAAGCCCAGCAGTCCATGAATGTAGCTGCAGACTTCTAATAGTATATAGTCCACAAATTTTTCATGTGACGTGGGCGCTCGTCTCCTGCTCCTATAGGCAGATTTTGCGTAGAGTGTTATCGTATTTACTTCTGTTGGGATAGCAGTTTCATAGCGTAATGAGAGTGACTATTGCAGTTGTTCTCACTGGCTTGCATAAATTCTAGCATGTCTCTCAACTTGGCACCGTGGCCGCCTGAGTGTATAAGTAATATGAGCACTATTTAATATTCATCAAATGAACACATCGTGAATCAGTTTGCATCACGGTTTATAAAATACTAGCAAACCAGTGAACCAAATGTTCACCAAAACCTGATTTAAAAAAAAATGTATTTAATTAATTGAGAACTTCGGAGATTTTGTGTGGTTTCGTTTGAAATTCGTGATTTCTCGAAAACCGGAAGTGCTACGTTACTCAAATCCGGTTTGTAGTCTTATCAGACTACTCTTAACTTGTAACTTAACCATTCTCTTTATCTATCTCTTACGGTTTGGCCGCTGAAACAGCACCACAGACGGACGGACGGACTTGTCTAATAGATAAGAGATCTGATGCCTCTGAATACCGAACGATTAGTCGTTTCAGACTGCTTGGAATGACAGATATATTTAGGTTAAATAAAGCAAGTTTTAAGGGTATAGATGTGCTGATTTATTTATTTATTGACGACGATTTATTTATTTATTGACCATAATTCAGACGACGCATCCTGAAAAGCATGCGAAACGTCAATAAATAAATAAATCGGTGCGTCTATACCGCTGAAACTTGTTTTATTTAACCTAAATAAAACTGTCATTACAAGCAGTCTGAAAGGAATGCTAAACGTCAATAAATAAATAAATAAATCAGTGCATCTATACCGTATTTTTTTTTATTTAATGAGTGGTGTGCGTGAAAACCTAAGAAACAAATATATATTTAGGTTTCTGTCTCCATTCCATTTAAAAGAGATGGACTCAGTATTCTCTTTTAAAACGTCTTCACTTTTTCTTATACTCCATGTTAAAAACAAAGCACAACGTAATCTAAGTATCTTTACTTCTATAGCATGCAATTTTCTTAATTTTCGGTCGACAAGTGTTCACACGTTGTGTGCGTTGAGTCTGTGAGAAGTCCGGCGATTTCTTTTTCACGAATAAGAATTTTTGCGCTTTGCGAACGAAAGTTCGTCAACTGCGCAGGCCCTTAAATAGGCATTTTGTCCGCGCACTTTTCGTCCGCCATATTAAATCACTTACAATATAACTGCATGTAGTAACACACACGAGCGATTAAAAGTACGGCGTACAGAAATCAGAATATTTTTGTAAAGGATGCCTAATTAGATTACATATTTTTTGGTTTCAGTGACAGCCTGTTACTATGGCAACACCTAATTATTTAAGAAAAGAAATGTATTTTAGCATGTATGTTCTTGTTGGTTGTTCAAATAAATAAAATATTTTTTTTTATATAATTTACATTTGTAATGGAAAGTGACTTCATGTGTTGTCTCATATTGAAGTCATTTTTCAATTTGACGACTCTGACGACAGGGAGAAAAAAACAGCCCTTGCTGAGTTTCTTGCCGGTTCTTCTCAGTACAAGGTCTCCCGCCGTAGATTTGCGAACCGATGGCGTAGCTTTTCAACATTCACAAGTGCTTGTAACAGCCTAGACTGAATAAACGACATTTTTTTTAAAAAGTTTATCTCATCTATAGTTAGATGCCTAGGCAGCAACGCACACATCGCACTTTTGACCGCGTTGCGCGCTCTGGCCTACGCAGATTAGGGACTTTTATCCTTTGTAAAAAACATGTCCGCCGTAGACTTTTCACGGACTCAACGCACACGGTATGCGAAAATTTACTGCCCGAAAATTTGGAGAAGCGCACGCTATAGAAGTAGTTAAATATTTTCAGATTAAACTTTGAAAGAAAGATAACATTTTATTGACTTCCACTGAAATAAATACATTATAAAACAACAAAGATAGAAAAACATCAAATAACTGAGAAAATAAAAAACAAGAAAACGAATTCATGTTAGTGCTGTACAAGGCCAACAGAGGCCTAAGTCATGAAAAATGTATAAGCATACAAACATAAAACTTTGTTATGATTTTATTTATTTTTTAAGCATTTAACTGCTATATGTTTAAATCTAAAGAAAAGTTTACTTTACAAAAGGGTTCGAGTCCCGTCCGCTGCCTGGTCCGCGTGGATTTTTTTCTAGTAAACTTTTCTTTAGATTTAAACATCTAGCAGTTAAATGCTTAAAAAATAAATAAAATCATAACTATAATTGCTATTTCTTCTTACAAATGTTTAATACTTGAAAAAGTATTCATTTGACATTGTGGGTTACCTACAATGCGAAGAGATGGCGCTGCTTTGCAGCTTAAGGCTAGGAAAATTTCGACGCGGCTAATAGGGCCATGGTAGCATAATGGTCAGTGCATTCGCCCGGATAGCGAAGGATGCGGGTTCGAGTCCCGTCCGCTGCCTGGTCCGCGTGGATTTTTTCTAATAAAACTTTGTGTTGTAATACAAAATTTAAAGGAAAACAGGAGGAACTTCTCGCCACATTATTATACCAGATGTAATAATTACCGATAATTCTCTTACATGTCTCTTCGCTTGATTTGTAATCGAATCTAATACAAAACGGCTGTTGGTTCAATAATCAAATAAGGCCATGACATAATTTTGACTGGTATAGTTGTTAATCCTTTGATGTAATTGAATTATATCAAATTAACTATAATAACCAATGCCATTCTTTTTAAATTAACGCACAGGTTTTAGCCGATTTTGCACTCAAACCGCAGTGGTTGCTTAGGAAAATAAATGTTCTTTTCAACACATTTGGTAAAAAAAAAGTATAAATAGATCCGACAAGTGATTCCGCCCCACCTGATGTGAAGTGACGGTGAAGCCCAGACTTGAAGATAGCTGGTACAGCAGTTCTACCTGCCACACCAGCCATCCTCGCCTTGCCGGCCTGCATGTTGCTTCTTCACGCCTCTTTTATTGGTTGTATATGCATTAACGTAGGTTGTATACATTGTTCGGAAGTTAAAAATTATACACTACTAGCAAACCAGTGAACCAAATGTTCACCAAAACCTGATTAAAAAAAAATGTATTTAATTAATTGAGAACTTCGGAGATTTTGTGTGGTTTCGTTTGAAATTCGTGATTTCTCGAAAACCGGAAGTGCTACGTTACTCAAATCCGGTTTGTAGTCTTATCAGACTATTCTTAACTTATAACTTAAACATTCTCTTTATCTATCTCTTACGGTTTGGCCGCTGAAACAGCACCACAGACGGACGGACTTGTCTAATAGATAAGAGATACAACAGAGGGAGCTTGCCCTTTCAAGTCTCGATTGCTGGAGCACAGGCTTTATCTGTGGATACTATAGCGAAAGTCGGCTATGACCTACCACGCAGAACTTCCGTAGTCTTGACAAGGAACCCTTATAGTTTCGTCATGTCCGTCTGTCCGTCCCCGGTTTTGCTTGGAGACTAATTAGCACTAGCTGTAATTTTGTGGAGATATGTATATCAATCATGCCGACAAAATGGTAGAATATAAATTTTAAATATTTTTTTTAGGGTAGCTCCCCTACACTTAACCTGGCGATTATTTTTTGTATCATTTACCCCATTGTGGTATAATGTTTGTTTTTGAGCAGGGCGTGACACTGATACCCATATCACTGACACACGTAGGACAGCTGTTTTGTCTATGATATAGAACCGCTTTATGTCAACTTAGCTGTCAAACTTCATTGGTTGGGTTGGTAACATTGAAAGATTAGTTTCTTTTTTTGATTTGACTTAAAAATCGACTTCAACTTATAAAAAAAAAGTAACTAATCTTTCAATGTTACCAACCCAACCAATGAAGTTTGACACGTTGACATAAAGCGGTTCGATATCATAGACAGAACAGCTGTCCTACGTGTGTCAGTAATATGAGTGTCAGTGTCACGCCCTGCTCAAAAACATACATTACACCACAATGGGGTAAATGATACAAGAAATAATCACCAGGTTACGTATACGGTAAAAACACTACAGTGGGGGATATCATTGAATAGGTCCTTTAAAATTACTCTGGAGTTCCTAAGACTATTTTTCGATTTAGGCACACTTTGTGAAATATTGAATTTTAATGTGCAAATTTTTGTTCGAGTATGGCGTGCCCCCCTCCTCTAAAAGCTAGACTATTGGCTTGAAAATCCTGGTAAATTTCATGATAATAGTGCTTTTCATGAACTTGGAAGGAAAATAATAACGGTTAAGATTAATTTTGCCTGCAAAAAATGCCGTGCAACATTTGATTAAATTAAAATTAAATTTGATATTGTTTCAGGAAAGAAAAAATTGAATAAAAATTTGACATATTACTACATGGCCAAGTTTCTAGGCTTGGATCAGAAGAGAAAACACAAAACAACAAGGACAAGGACACTAAAACCTCCAGGTTTAGTGTCCTTGTCCTTGATGTAACGTACGACAAAACTGTGGAATATGTTGTCGCCAGCAGTGTTTCCGGACCAATACGACCCAAGAACCTTCAAAAAAAGAGCGTACTCCTTCCTTAAAGGCTGGCATCGCATTTGTGATACTCCTGGTGTTGCAAGTGTCCATGGGCGACGGTGATCACTTACCATCAGGTGAGCCGTCTGCTCGTATGCTTAAATATAACATAAAAAAAAAAATGTGCCCTCCTTGCCAACGGTGGTGGTCTGGGATCCTTATTGGGACTCAACCAGGCCGCCACCGGCGAAACAAGCTTATGGCCTGCCTGATGGTAAGCGGTCACCACAGCCTTTATAGACAGACGCTTGCGATACCAAAAATCACTGGTGCCGTTGCCTGCATTGACCTAATCCCCAACCCCGTGGTACTTTGAAACCTTACTCACCGACAGAAACACTACACCTTCCACTGACTATCATCTTCTGTAACCTCCACCTGGAGGTTACCTCCCCAGACAGGCGCTCCGTACCGAGCGGGATATCTGCTATGCCCTACTTCTTTACCTTGCTGGCATATGGACCTTGTCCTAGAATTTTATAGGGCCATGGCGTATCATCACCAGCCTATTAATGTCCCCACTGCTGGAACACAGGCCTTCCTTATGGATGGAATAGGAAGATTCGGCCATGACCCACCACGCGGGCCCAGTGCACATTGGTGGGTGCTAACGACTGCAAATGCAACGGCTTAACGTTCCTTCTGAAGTACGGAGGAGTTGGAGATAGTAAATTTTTGGTCACCCATCCAATGACCGACCACTGCGAAAGTTTCCTTAGCTTCAACGATCACAGCCGAACAAGCTAACCACTTGCGCCATTGAGCTCCTCAATGGGCCATGGCGTACTTATTTACAATTACAGAATAGTCAGATATGGATGGTAAAATTTCTTTAAAGGTAATATTCTTTTACTGGTACTCTACTACGAGAGGAAAATCTGCTTAAAATAGACAGGGCAACCTTTCATGTTGAAACCGAAGTCCAGTATGATTGCTATTGTGCACTGTTGTATGATGATCACGTTTTAATTTTAATACCCAAATTTATTATCATCACGGGTCAAATTACAAGCATGTAATTGTCGACAAATTTGACAAAATCAACATGTCCAAATTGGTCATGAAGCGTTGACGCTCATTGTCGGTAATTTTTTTCATGCGCGTGAGAAGATCAAGGTAATTATATCAATGAAAATTGCTCATAGTCTTTATATATAAATAGGGTAGATGCGGCCAAAGGATGGTAGTTATTTCCTGACTCGCGTCTGACGTGGCTGTTTTTATTTGAACATATTTGTTATAAAATTTTGAAGTTTTTATATTAATAATGGCGAAGTTTGTTGTTCTGTGTTTGGGACTCCTGGCTGCGGCTCTGAGTGTTAAGGTATTGTTTATATGACTCGTCTTTTGTAGGGCTTAAAAGTATCGTCCATCCTCAAACGAGCTTTGTAATTTTGTTAGGTAATCCGTATTGACCAGCTTCTCCCAAAAATACATGATCTAGATTTAGTCCGAATCTTTATTTGATTAAAGCTCAGTACCTACATCTAGTAGGCAATATTAGATGTAGGTACATCCTAAATACATCGGCAAGACTTTGAAAACCCGCCACCACGGTCGTGATGTGTCTCTGATTAGGCATCTGAGTGTTATCCTTATGGATTCCATCTCGCAAAAAGCCCTAGAACAATTTCAGCTTTTGTAGAAAATTGGTCACGGAAGATTCCGTGAACATTTACAAGACAAAGAATCAAATTCGGAGAATCTAATGTATGACGCTACTGCAAAACAAATAATGTGAGAAGCTAGCGAACAAAACATTATAATTATGCATCTGGTCAAACTACTTTTTTTACAGGCCGGAGGTTTTAGACTCGCTGCATTTGAATCTCAACTCATTTTCAATCAAAACCACTTAAACAGTTATAATTTTTATTATTTTTTAAAGCATGTAACTGCTTGATATTTAAATCTAAAGAATCGCCGCGGTAGCATAATTGGTCAGTGCATTCGCCCGGATTGCGAAGGGTGCAGGTTCGAGTCCCGTCTGCTGCCTGGTCCGCGTGGATTTTTTTCTAGTTATATTTTCTTTACACTTAAACAGTGTTAAAATTACTCAATTTATCAATTAATAACCACGAAAAAAGCTCACTGTAGGTATGTCATTCAGTTTTTTACAGCTCCTATAAAATTTAATTTTATGTAATTAAACCGTTTTGTTTGACAGCTCCTGATGTTTAATCTCTGCAACATCTTATCTTGGACTGCCCCTTTTTAAGACAGCTAATTCATATCTCATCTTCTACAACTTATGAATACGAGCATTTATACATTAGTCATGGACACAAATATGTCAAATATATGTATTCAATCCGTCACCCTAACATTCCATAACACAAGCCTTAAAGTGCTTACTTTGGGGCTAGGCTAACTGTTGTAAGTGTCGGAAATATTATTATTTTATTATTAATGTAGACATAACGAGAAATGCTACACATTCCTTTTTTATAATTTTATTGAATTTGAGTCGTTATTAAGCAGAGTAAATATTGCCTATCCCATAGTAGCAGTTTGGAAGGCTATCCTCTTATGCACTAATGGATGCGAGCCGTTGTTTGTTCAAACGTCCGGCAATGATTAGTTTAATGATCAAAATTTGCTGAATCTATATCCTTCCACGTAAAAACAATTCACAAATCTAGGACCAATACGTATAACTCATTGTGGTTCATATATTACAGGGGCTATTCTACTTATTCTTCTAATAATTAATCGGTAACTTCATTGTCCCAAAAAGTTGGTGTGGTTATATGAAACCAACCAACCAATGCTTCTTTTTTTTTATATATTTTTTTTTAGTCTAGGTTTTTTAAACTATTCTTCTATTGGAAACTAAAGTGTCCTTGTATTGTCGGTTGGGCGGTTACTTACAAAAGTAAGCCTATAGTTATAAGCCCCAGCAGTGGCTGCCCACTGAGGTCCCCGTACCTCTTACGGGCGCTTTACGGCATAATATCTACTAAAAACCCTGCGAATACCCTCTAAGCTGCTTAGCGCGAAGCCGCGGGATCCTCGTTTTGGGATTCTTCCGCGTCTCCACACCTAGCAGCCTCCCGGCCTAGCCGAGGCTCCGCGGTAGGGGTCTTCCGGGGTATCGCGGGAACCCCGCAGACGTGCGCAGGATGGCCCGCGCGTGGGGGCTGAGTACGCAGCCTAGTGCCCACCGTACCGCCCTCCGTCCGCTGCGGAGGGCTACTTGGGGGTGCCCGTGTAGCTCCCTCCGCCACCCCCCTCTTTGCAGGACAGAACTACAAGGGGGGGCTGCCGTCACGGGGTTCGTCGGTGGTGGGCACAGCTGACGCCATGCCGGTCAGCGAGGGACCCCAAAGATATGAAAAACCTGGATATTTAATATCGTTGAGGATACAACATTAAAGGTCCTCCTATGAACAACGTGCAACGTGAGATACAAATCAGACGCCATTGGTAAACTGATAATAATAATTGTTGCAGTAGTTATTATCACGGATTTCCCTAGCACCTATTACTTACTAACTATGGAGTTATTAGTTACCATGATTTTATCGTGTGAAACACATACACGAAAGGCCTATAAATGATTGTTCGTTGGTAATTGATATCCGCAATCTAATTAGTTCTTAGCATTGTGTATAAAAAGGGTTATTAGAATTTTACATTGTAGAAATGTGATGTAAGAAGCTAGGTATAGTATAATTAGGGTTAAGGCGGGAGACTTGTCCTGGAGGTATAGTTCAACCATCTTTCAAAAATGTATTTTTCATCACATTTACTCAAAAAATCAATTTACGGAGGTTGTTTGTATACATTGTTCGAAAGGTGAAAATTACAGGCCATACAAGGCTCCCAGACAACGCTCCCATACATGGCACCGTCCGTATTCTTTACAGTTGTTAGGGTTCCGTAGTCTTGACAAGGAACTCTTGTAGTTTCGTCATGTCCGTCTGTTTGTTCACCCTGGTTTTACTTGGTTTTACTCTGTTAGCACTAGAGAATTGTAATTTTGTGAAGATATGTTGATCAATCATGCCGACAAAATGGTAGAATAAAATTTTGAAAAATTTATTTTTAGGGTAGCTCCCGTGGATCCGCACCGGATCCGCGCGTTTCCCATACAGATTCGGGCGGATCCACATCGGATCCGCGCGTGAAATTTTACAGAATAGCACTGCTGGTGATGATTTTATTTTTCATCGCCTACCCCATCGTGTGGGGTATCGTTAATAGATCCTTTAAAATTACTCAAGGGTTCCTAGGATCGTTTGCGAAATATTGAACTTTTAAGTGCTAATTTTTGTTCGTGTAGGACGTCCCTCCTCTAAAAGCTTAACTATTGGCTTGAAAAACCTGGAAAAATTCATGATAATATTGCTGTTCATCATCATCAGCCTATTAATGTTCCCACTGCTGGGGCACAGGCCTTAGGATGGAATAGGTAGATTGGGCCATGACCCACCACGCGGGCCCAGTGCGGATTGGTGGGTGCTAACGACTGCTGATGCAGCCGGGACCAACGGCTTAACGTGCCTTCCGAAGCACGGAGGAGCTCAAGATAGTAAATATTTGGTCACCCATCAAATGACCGACCAATGCGAAAGTTGCTTAACCTCAACGATCGCAGCCGAACGCGCTAAGCATTTGCGCCATCGAGCTCCACAAGTGATCCACAGTGATTCTGGTTACTAAACAGCTATTGGGTATGAGGAGAACTACTTCGATAAAATATTTTGGTTGATGTTATACCAAATTAAGTATATATAATTGCATTTTATATTAAACTAGCGGACCCGACAGACGTTGTCCTGTCTACACGTCTTTGTGAATCTAAACCATTCTCAGATCCCCTTGAACACACACAAAAAATTTCATCAAAATCGGTCCAGTCGTTTAAGAGAAGTTCAGTGACATACACACTCACAGAAGAATTATATATATAAAGATATTTGATATGAAATAATCCCAAAATATTACAAACTCTATATCTATTTGTACGGACGCTCAAAAATCATGTCAGCTGAGAATGAAATGATCATTGATGAAATGACTCGTAAGAAACTGTAAGAAACTACTTTATTCTAAAATTCAGTTCTGAAAATATTTGTTTCAGGCATTGACCAAAGAGGAGTTGGATCACATAAAAGAAGCTACGTTGATGCACTTCAACGAATGCAACAAAGATTTTAATGTTTCCGAAGAAGACATCAAGGCCGCCGAAACACAGAAAAACATGGACAAAATCGATGCTTGCCTTATTGGATGCATGATGAAGAGGTCACACCTTGTTAGTATTTTAATTTATTTCATAAAGAGTAACAAATATCATATAAATTCAAACAATGGGCCATTCTATAATCAAAAAGTATTTCGACACTTATTTTTCTTTATTCACATATTCAAAACATTACAGCGATATATTGTTTTAAACTTTCATGGTCACTAACATTATAGTAATATGAGTTATTTACGGGATTGTTACCATGTACCTTGTTTTTAGCGACTTTCCGATATTTCGGCACTATTGCAAGCACCATGATCACGGAGTAACTCCGTGTACTATAGTGCCGAAATATCGGAAACTCGCTAAAAACAAGGTACATGGTAACAATCCCGTAAATACAAATATTACTATACAGCTATAGCTGAGATACAAGCTTTCGCTTAGTTCAGGCACCAGTCTCTCGCAATATTATGAAACATACAAGTATTGTTTATATCATAAGCTGTAACATGTAGATTGTTGAAAAAAAAAAGTTATTATTATTATAGATATTAACGGGATTGTTACCATGTACCTTGTTTTTTATGAGTCTCCGATATTTCACCGTGATCATGGCGCTTGCAACAGTGCCGAAATATCGGAGACTCATAAAAAAACAAGGTACATGGTAACAATCCCGTTAATATCTATAATGTTAGTGACCATGAAAGTTTAAAACAATATGAAGTTATTATTATTATTTATTAATTTGAAAGGTCGCTTGACGTCGAGTTTAAATAAAAAAATAATTCGGGAATGTTAGAATAGCCAGTGCATTCTATAAAAACAATCACACATTTCACGGCGGAATCCGTTGTGGGATTTGTATTCCAATGGTAGCCATACACACTACGAGAAATCGTTACGATCAGACTGTAAAGTTCGAACGGAACAGTTTATCATACGTGGCGTACGTATAGGAAACTGTGCAGTTTTATAACATACACGCTACGATTTATCGGTACCGTTCGAACTGTACAATCTGATCGTAACGTTTTCTCGTAGTGTGTATGGCTACCATAATTTCACACGCGGATTTCGCAGTGAAAAATGAGTTAGAGTTAATGAATAGCACAGCTGGAATAAGCTATTTTGAAAACGCGTTCAAAAAGATTTTCTGCATGTTTAGTTGGACGGAGAAGGAAAATTCGACACAGAGAAGGCAATAGAGCTAAGCAAGTCGTTCATGAAGAGTGAAGACGACCAAAAGAAGTTTGCCGAAGTCGTTGCAGAATGTGCTAAAGGTACGCTGATGTCTATTTATTTTTATACGAGGTACAACAAATTGTCCCATTTTCTCATTTGCACCTGATATTGAAGTGGAGTTCAGTCGCGAAGATAAATGTTGCGGCAGAAGGTGTGTCCTCCAGCAATCCCCGACGACCTCCGTGGCCGAGTGGTTTGTACGCCGGGTTTCATGGTGACGCCGACTCGAGAGAGCTCCCGGGTTTGAATCCCGTTGGGGGCAGATGTTTGTGAAAGAAAAAAGGATGATTAAAAAAAATGCTGTGGTGAAAAATAACAGCTGGAGCTGGCGCTTTATATATTTTTCTTCGCTCCTTTTCCGTCATGGGAATAAAATAAAATAAATAAATATTTCAAACACTCACACCAATTAGCCGAGCCCCAAAGTAAGCACTATAAGGCTTGTGTTAAGGGATACTAGGGTAACGGATAGAATACATATACTGTACATATATAAGTATATTTATATAGAATTACATATTAAACATCCATGACTGGAGTACAAATGCTCGTATTCATCACACAAACATCTGCCCCCACCGGGATTTGAACCCGGGACCTCTCGAGTCGGCGACACCTTGAAACCCGGGTACAAACCACTCGGCCACGGAGGTCGTCAAATGAATGGAGGTGAATGATAAATGGTGTTTGAGTGATTTGAACGAAACACGGCGTAGCTAGTCTTAGTTTATTCCTAGTTTATTAATAAGTGAATGTAATTCTATTTATAGAGGTCTAAGCTCCGAATATGATTTTGTCCCATTCGGTGTCGAGACCTTTGGTCCGTGGGGTCCTAGCGCTATAAGGCTTTTTAAGGAAATAGCAAAAAGGTTAGTCGACATCACAGGAGACCAAAGAGCTGGCAGCTGCCTCGGACAAAGAATTAGTTAGTTACTAGTTAGCTAGCTATCCGAAGGGGGAACGCTGTCAGTATCTTCGGAACCTTGCCTAAAGGGACTCCTTTTAATCATTTTTTTTAAGTTTTAGGTTATTTGTTCTAGTATATATTTATTTTCTGTATAACTGAACTAGTAACTAGTAGGTCATAGAGTCTAATGTTGTTTATGTATCTATATAAATTCTATTTTGTTTTCAGTAAACGATGAACCTGTGTCCGATGGAGCGAATGGTTGCGAAAGATCCAAAATGGTGTTGGTTTGCCTGGCTAAGCATAAGGCAGAGGTAAGTATTTGTTAGTCATGAGTCTTGTTAAATTTGAAATCAAAATTTACAATCAGTTCATTATAATAGCTATTGTATAATTTATGTTATTGACGGGGTTATCTACGATATTTCGGTACCGCTGCAAGCGCCATGATCACGGAGTAACAAGGTACATGGTAGAAATTCTTTAAATAACATAAATAAAAATGTTAGTGAAGCTGAAAGTTGAAAACAAAATATGCACAGTATATTGATTTTTTTAAAATTTAATAATAAAAAAAAAAAATATTTTTACACTAGATAAATTTAAATAAAACTAGTTTTTACGGGTTAATGCACGAAACTTTATTTATTTATTGACGTTTCGTAGCCTTTACAGGCTACGTCGTCAGAATTAAACTTTTATTATTATAAACGTCAATAAATAAATAAAGTTTCGTGCATTAACCCGTAAAAACTAGTTTTATTTAAGAGTGATGTGCGTGAAATCCTAAGAAACAAATATGTTAACTAGATAAATTTGTTCTGTTGTTTTTTCGTGTAAGTTCTTTATACATAAGAATCATGAGGGAACTAACATGCTTTACAATACAATACAAAACACTTTATTGCACACCACAGAAAACATTACAATAAATACAGGGCCATTTAAATCAAGTCGTACAATGCGCTAAAAGCGATCTCTTCCAGACAACCTTTGGATGGAGAGGATCAAAAGGAAGTGGGAGAGACGGCGGCGTATATTTCAATGTAATAGCTTTATGGAACTAAGAAGCCATAAATTTGTCTATTTGACTAATGGATTTTCTTATTGACTAATGAAAAAAATCAGAGAAAGAATAAAGATACAGTAATAATATTTGTTTCTTAGGTTTTCACGCACATCACTCATTAAATAAAACTAGTTTTTTACGGGTTAATGCACGAAACTTTATTTATTTATTGACGTTTCGCAGCCTTTACAGGCTGCGTCGTCAGAATCAATTTTTTATTTAATTTTGTCGAGCTACCTTCGAAGAAGGGTTCCCTGTAAAAAAACTAGTTTTATTTATAGAGTAATAAATTCAATACCTCAATTGTATTATTCCAAGTCCTATTAATATACAATTGAGTTTGATATTGCAATGATATTTAAAAAGACTTCGAAGGAGCTTTAACAAACTTCTAATGACTTTTAAGTATATGTTACGCACAAAGATCGAAAACGCGGAAAAATAGCTCACGTCATGGATTTTCTTCATTGCCAAAACGCGTAGAAATCGAAAAGCATGTCAGCCACGATACTAATGTCGCTATTTGGGCTTTCTGTGATTGCCACAATGCGTCGTGCGCGTTTTGCATTAGAGCCATAACACGAATTTCGCCATGTGGATGTTTTACTGTGACCACAACGCATTGTGAGCTATTTTTCCGCTCACTGAGCGTTTTCGATCTTTGAGCGTAACATATATAAATATCTGATGTCAGATTGTTAAATACATAGAGCCTTAATGCAGGTATTTTTTAAGTTTAAATAGCTGCAAAGTTCTCGAGCAAAACCCAGACAAATAAACTTGCCCCGTAGACCGTTTTTTACTTGATATTATAATGTAGTGTCTAATGTTGTAAAGATAATGGTACGGTTTGTAGAGAATAGCTCATTAACTTTTTTCGTGTGTTGTTGAAATAGTAATGATTCATAGAATCATTCAATTTACCTATTTCAATCCACAATAACATGGTTTTGAACTTGACCGCTGTATACACCCCGGCAAACTCCTTGAGCATAGACAAGGACGTCTGCGCATTAGCAATTTTTCATACAAAAACGTCTACTGCGCATGTTTATTTGTCTGCGTTCGTGCTCGAGTCCAACTCACACTTGGCCGGGTTTTTTTTTTCATTTCAATATCTTTGTTTTGTTCACAGTTCGTGCCAGCACGTCGTTAAGAAAAACTGTGATGTATGAAGCCCACTAATGCGACAATAGTTGAGACTATATTTAAAACATAATTATACTTGTGATTTCTACTTATATTACGTTTTTATGGTTTATTAAAAGATTTGAATACGAAGGACCACTTTTATTTTAAACTTTTTGTTTTTTGATAAAATAATAATAAGTAGTAACTGTAAATCGGGTGCTCATGAAAGACAATTCGATAAGTATTTTAGATGTTTACAGCTCAGAAGTCAATAAAAAAGTGTATAAAACATTTTTTTCTGCTTATATACCTATATATACATGATACATTGTCGGCAACGCCATCTAGTTTCCAAGTGTTGAACCTGAATACTGCGAAGTAGAGTAAGCCACCTCGATTCACCTAGAGTGACTAGATGACGCTGTCGTCATAACTAATCCTTATTGAAATTGTTTATTTGCCATAATATTTGCGTATAACTGGTACTTCATATGGTTATTCGTATTTGCTATTTGTAGATAGGAGTCTCTCTTTTTCATTCATGATGATCTTAATGTTCCTAGCAGACATTTATCAACTCAGAAAGGAGTCGTCAACGTATCAATTCGGGCCCTTCTCTATATGAAACTCTACTCTCGTCACAACAAGATTTTCCGAGGCAAGTCGATTATGTTACGATTTCGATTATTGTACGAGTGTTATAGAAAGAACTAGCTGTGCCCCGCGGTGTTACCCGCTGATTATTAGGGATATTTTCCCGCAGTAAAACGTAGCCTATGTGTTGATCCAGTGTGTCAGCTAACTCCATACCAAATTTTATTAAAGTCGCTCCAGCCGCTTAGACGTGAAGAAGTAACAAACATACACACTCACAAACTTTCGCTTTATTAATATTAGTGTGATACTGAACTACTCAAGTTGATACCCCTTTCCGAGTATCCCTTTCCTTTAATTTAACGCATAAAATGGATTAAAATATATTAAGAGAGAAAACACCATATTTATTAAGAATTAAAAAAATGCAATTAATGTTCTCATTCGGCCGGCACATCCAAAATAGCATTTTTAATAGGCAATAAAATTTTAGTCATAATTAAAAAATTTTAAGCATGTAACTGCTTGATGTTTAAATCTAAAGAAAATGTAACTAGAATTTTACCCAAAAAATGGCACACATTTGGGGTCATCCATAAATTACGTCACACGAATTTCATGTCTTTTTTGCCCCTCCCCCCGTCCTTGTCACAGCTGGTCACATTTGTAAGACTCCCCCCCTCCCTAGTGTGACGTCACATATTTTGCAAATTTACATTTAGAAATCATTGAATGAAAACAGCGGTTCTGTAATCAGTTTTATTTCCATTTAAATTGTTTTTTCATTATTATTATAATCAAATCAAACAATTAACAAAACAAAAAAATTACCGAACAAAAAGTGATTGACTATGTTAATTAAAGAAATTAACAAAACATAAAATATTAATAGCATTACATATAATTAAATTAAAGATACAAACTTAATAATCTTGAGTCCATGGACATTGATCCCACTCCTTTAAATTATTTATAACTGACATAGCACCACTTTGTTCTCGTTTGGGTTGTTAATGCTTTCGTAAAGTAATAGTTTCAACACTTAGATTTTAATATATTTTGAAATGTGACGTCACGAAATTTAGGACCCCTCCCACCCCTTGTCACACGATGTCACATTTCGTCGACCCCCTCCCTACCCCTTAAAGTGTGACGTAATTTATGGATGGCCCCTTTTTATTTTTTAACATTAGGTACATGTAATGGGCATGAGATAATTTTCTGTGCCTTATCAAAAAACTATGTTGTAAATATGTTGGTAAGTAACTTTTGAAGCATTTATCAATATGTGATCTAGACTTCCGCAAAAATGTCACATATACACAGATGTCTTTGGGAATTGTTGCCAACATTGTCTGAACATTCGCTCCGGTGTGCCGTGACCAATAATGACAAACGAATTGATTGTTAAAACATAGTGCATAGCCGATAACAGCATGAAATCTACGCACTGTAGGTACTGTTATGGCAGACATTCTGAAAATAAAATATCTAGCCTGCAGAAATACCAGTTCTTATGTTAAGTTAATAATTTATAAAATATACAGTACTTAGCCAAAGTACTGTATATTTTATAAATTTTTACATTTTTTTTTAATTTTACCCTGCTCGTATTGGGCGTCTTCCTAATAGAAAGCGCCAACGCAAACACCAGTACTTATAGCACGAACCAATTACCAATATCTAATTCGAATAGTTTGCAGGTGCGAAATGTTATTATCAAATGTAAATTGATTTTTAGTTCTCGTTACGTCCGTTACGGCGCTGCTGTTCAAATTTCCATACGAAATTTGACAATGACGTTTCGGACTCGTATAATTCGAATTCGATATTGGTTCGTGCTAGGGCTACAGTTTGCTTGAATTTTGCTCCCACAAAATAAATCACAACGCGCAAATGACAACTATGATGACTCTTAGGGCGCTTGTTAAAGACTGGTTTTCCGCCGGGCCTAGACACCATTCCCACCTGGGCCAGTGCCCGGCTAAGCTTGTTCACGAGCAAGGTTTGTACTTTTCTACCTACCCCAAACCATCGCTAGCGTCAGTGTCGTTAACAAACCTCCATTGTGTACCATACTTGACTGACTACCGGACGTAGATACGGTTTGAAACCGTGCCTAGACCCGGGAAGAAATCGTCTCCTTAACAAGCGCCCATAGGCCTCTACCCTCTTCCAAGAGCATTCGCCGGATTTGCAAAGAACGCTGGTTCAAGATCAGCCTTATACCTAACACGGGTTGAAATTATAATTGAAAAAAACATGTGTGCACGGACCACACATCTGTACCCCTAGCACGAACCAATATCGAATTCCTATCGTTTGCGAGCCCGAAATGTCATTGTCAAATATGTACTGGTTTTTAGTTCTCGTTACGTACTTTGTGCCGCTGCTGTTCAAGTTTCCATTTTTTTTCAAGTTTCGGTTTGCAAACTATTCGAATTCGATAATGGTTCGTGCTAAAGGTTCTGAAGTGAAACTTCTTATCTTAAATAACTTAACATTAGGCGGTGCATAAGGCATAGCGGAATGGAGCAGCGCACACATCACTCATATATATATTGTCGCGTGTTATGCTCGTAGCGAGATACCCTACGAGGATAGGATTTTTTAAAAAATCCTTTAACGAAGTCGAAGGCCACGTATTTTCCACATCATTACGATTTTTTTTCTTCTGGACCATACCTGGGAAATTTGTGGTTATGAAGATATTGCAGGTCAAAGTCACAATTTTTTTTTTCAAGATTTATACATTAATATTTCAAAACGTTATTTAGAAACTTTTTATCGACGCACTTACACACACGCACACACCTACATACAGGCACATTCTTTGCGCAGCGCCATAGTAGCGCGCCGCGCTATACATTGCGTACCTACTAAAAAATAGTTATTTATTATACAAGAGTGGAAAGTTCCTTTTTAACCGCGTGCTCGATTTGGATGACCGAGCAAGCGAAGGATTCTAAAGTTGAATCACGAGCGCAGCGAGTGATTCTAAATTAGAATCCTGAGCGTCAGCGAGGGAAACAAACGAGCACAAGGTGAAAAATCTTTCCACTCGAGTGCAATACGTAACTTTTCATCCCACCTCAGCGAGGAAATGACAAAATGAAAAAGAAAACAATTTATAATGACAAAATATTTAAGCAATAAAACGTGAAAAACTAGAATGGCGCGAAGCACGCAAATAAAACAAAGAAACCAAGAAGGTTCCAAATTTAAATTTTTTCACAATTTAAAAAGTTCTAATCATAAATTTGGCACCATAGAGGTTACATTAAATAGGTTTAATGACGTTTTGAATTTACAATTATATTGAGTACTCATTATATGTGATGTTCTAAATTCAAATCTACTTTGCCGCTCAAGCGAATAAAATAGAATTTTCCAGCCAGATTTCGAAGCGCAAAATTACACTTTCCGAGGTGGTGGGATGAAAATGTTTTATTTTAACTAAAAAATCAAATCAGACTCCCACGTATAACATTTTGTAACATTACTTGTTTGAGTGTACAAAATGCGTAGTATTAGTCTTTGTCATAGGTTTTTTTTTACACCCTGTATATATACTACTATAAATTTAAATATATATATAAACAAACTTATCCCAAGGAGCTGGAAATCAAAAATCTAAGCAGTATTCATTAAGACATGTGTATATATTTATACTAGCTGACCCAGCGAACTTTGTACCGCCATAAAAAAATTTAATTAAAAAAACATTGTCCAGCGGACAAAATTGTGAATCTAAACCATTCTCAGATCCCCTTGAACACACACAAAAAATTTCATCAAAATCGGTCCAGTCGTTTAAGAGAAGCTCAGTGACATACACACTCACAGAAGAATTATATATATAAAGATATATGTACAACTAGCTGACCCAGCTAACTTCGTATCGCCTTAAAAATAGGGGCAGGTGGTAGAAGAGAAAATTTAGGGTAGCATGTATTTTTTAATACCACTTTATAAAAAATAAATATTGTTTAAAATAAATTTTAGGGGTGTGTAACGTAGTGTTCTATCAATTTCCTGAGATAACATTCCTCCTAACCCATATGAGAACACTACGTTACAGGTGGTAAACCATTATCACTTATGGATACGAAAAATAGATAGTAACCGATTCTCAGACCCACAGAGTATGCATATAAAATTTCATAAAATCGGTCAGACCGAGAATTTTATATATAAGATATATATACATGTATGTACATATACATATTTCATTTACAAGCTATAAGAGAAAGAGAGAATGAAAATGTGCGCGCGCACTGATTTCTCTTGCATATATCCCCTTATATCCCCCACTCAACTCCCGTTCGCCTCGCGCGAACACACTTTTCGTAACGCGTAAAGCATTCGCCAGCTTACCCCCCAAGTCAAGCGTGCGTAAAGAAGTTTCATTTCAAAACCAGGACAGTGTGCATTTGTCTACATTAAACCTACTGCTATCAATACAACTGTGTCATAGGGTTATGTTTTGTGCAGCTTAAAGCGTGCTTCCCATGTAATCCAAGGCCAGGGTTAAACAAATTGTGAGTCGGGTACTTTAGGCTATTTAGTATAAAATAGATAAAAAATCAAAACACACTTCAATCGTCAACTGAAGAAGATACATCAATATTGAAGATGCTCAAATTTGAATTAATATGTTTTATTACAGTGGTTTGTGCGAGATATGTCAACAGCGTAAGTGTTTTTTTTTATTTAATCAGGATACTAATGTTTAAATGAGGCATTGCAACATCTACTCACTGTTCAATAAAATAATTCTGTTTGATTTTTCTCTACCCTTAACATTTGTGATTTTAAATTCTCTAAGTTTTCTTTCTGCTTATTAGTCATTACCAAATCTACTTTTATTATTTTTGTATTTTAAAAATTGTTGTAAATTAAAGTATACTAGCAAATTTTATTGCATAAAATAAAATTTATTATATTTCAATAAAATTCGTTTATACTTAACTCTGATAAAAATCATTTAGGTGCATTTTGTTTTACGTATTAAACTACTGGATTTTTATATCAAAAAGAATGTAGTATCTAAGATTTATATTCTAGTCTTGTGACCTAGGATATCTAAAAATGGTCTGCAGTAACAATCTGCTAAAAAGAATATCATTACTAATACGTGTATTTGCGTGGAAACATTAGCTGCGATTTTAACATTAAATTTCGTCTGCAAAACTTTCATAGTAACGATTTAAAAACTAAAACTAAATAAATAAAATTATGACTTAATGCTTGTTAAAATTACTATTAATGGAATGGTCATTTAAAACTCATTAAATATTAATTTAACACCGCTAATTTTTAAGTTACATGAGAAAAGAAAATAAAAATAGTGGGAACAGTTATAAACAGTAAATGTACTACATCCCCATACAAAAATACAGAGTTATATCGTTCACAAAATAAATTTGTAAATAACATACCTATTATAGAATTGTTATCCGTTCAAAGCATCCTTATAGTAGTGCTAATTAAACAAATTTATGACAGTTAAAATTGTAAATGTTTTATAATTATGAATTATATTCACTCGCTAATTTTGCAATTGCATTTTGCACTCTCATAGTACGTGGAGACAAAAATTCCTTAAAAATATTTTTCCGATTTTTTTTGCTAAAATATAACCTAAATCGTCGCCTGAATTAGCTAGTCAAGTTTCTCAAGTAACTAAAAATACACGGTGTTTAAAGAGCAATCTGCATTACATGATTTTACAATTCAGGGTTCGCCAGTTGACGAACTGAAGTCAACGATCCAATCAAAGCTGCTGTCCACTGGCATAGACTGTATTAAGGAGTATCCTTTATCTCTTTCCGACATTAAAGCCTTCAAGGAGAAGAGGATACCGAACAACAAGGACGCTAAATGCTTCGCAGCATGCTTATTTAAGAAGATCGGCATTGTAAGTTTGTCTTCATAATATTTTTTGATTAGGTCCACCCACCATGGATGATGTTAAATGGCAGTGGAGTCCTGGAGTTTACTTGCCACATCATCCTTACGGGTCGAGGCACGTAACTCTAGCGCTGAACAAAACGCGGAGGGGATAGCTGCGCATGGGTACGAGTGGAGAGCCAATCGGCGCAACGCACGCCCACCCGCGCACCTCGTTTCCCCCCAAGACATCTTAATTTTTACTTCTGCGCAATAACGGTCAGCGCTAGAGTTTCGTGCCGCGACTTATACCGGCCTACAATTTCCTTTTTATTCCCCGTTTAAGTAACCTCAGATAGTAGAAAGGACCGTTCCTTTCTACAATCTCTCGGGGATAAACTCGCAGCAATAATTTGGTTCCAAATTAAGGAGAATGTGTACTATGTAAATAAGATAACGTACTTATATAATCTATTTAATATAAGTATATAACACAAATCCAGGATTCCGGAACAAATATTTTTAATCATCACACGAATGAATTTGCCCCTAGCAGAATTTCTAGTTTGCAATTCACGTGGTTTAGAATGTGTTTTGAGTAGGTATTACAGAATTTAAAAAAAATATATAAGGCATGTCGTTCCATGGGCCACCTGATTTTTTTTTAAGTTTGGCTATGCTTTGAAGTCTTACATCAATAGTTATTTCAGACTGTATCGCCGCTTTGACAATGTTCAGATGTTATAGATTGTCTGATTTCCCTACCAAAATTCAAACTCTTTATCAAATGTTTCAGAAGGCTTTTTTAACAGTTCATTTCAATCATTCGATCATTCTCATGACAAGGTGTTCTTCATATAATTTCTGTCATGATTTTTTATTTTTCATTAAATTCCTTGTACCGACAAAAACTTGAAAAACTTTTTATATTATATTTGTGCGTTTGGAACTTTAATTGAGTGATATACTTTTGGGCGTGACGAAAATTAGATTTGCACCAGCAGACTTTCAAGTAGATATTTGATTAGACGCTCATAAATCAGGTCAGCTGAGAATGACCGATTTATTGGTTGGAAGACAAACTTTTGGGGGTCTACAATTTATTTTTAATTTTGTGGTACTCAGATGGATGACATGGGAAAATTGAATGCGGAAAAAGCAAAAGAAAGTGCAAAGCAAGCATTCAAGAACGAGGAGCATACGAAGAAGACTGAGGACATAATCAACTCCTGTGCAGAAGGTAATCTTTCTTTTATTAAAACGCTTTAGGGTGGTATTTCATTGGGAATCTGGTTAAATATTAAGACAGGAAATCAGTAGGTAGGTGTGGATCCTTTCTAAAAGTAAATACTATGCTTTGTAGTATTTCTGTGTTACATATTATGTAGTTGATGTGTTAACATAGGCCACGCCTGATGAATCCTTTAAATACAGTGAGAGCAACGTCCAGACCCGATTTCATATCGACTTAATCACGAACGTGATTAAGTCAATTTGGGTCTGGATATATGTAGTAGGTACCGTTATTATTTTACATTCTAAAAGTTACTAAAAGTTACTCGTAACTAAGCTATTGCTATTTGCTGTTCAGCTAATTTGATCATATTGTGTACACGTTTAAAGAATATTGTCTAGGCAATGTTTCAATTATAATTTTCATGTTAGCGTGCATTACATGGACTGTATCCTGTTAGAGTACCAAAACTAAATAAATAAGAAATAATAATAATCCAAACCAGAATAATGACTATTTAACTAAAGCACATATTTTAAAGAACATAAAAAAAATGTAATTGAGCCTTGTAAAAACACAAAGGGTAACTTTTTTTTATTAGGTGCATGACGCATACCCGCTCTTTATAACAAGAAGGTGAGCGAGTTATTTCAGGCTCCCCCAGTAAATAAATTTCCCCCAGTCGGTAGGCACACCTAAAACCCCATGGTGGTTTTATTCACAGCGATGAGTTGTGATATCGAAGTAAAGGTTAGGTTACAATTGATAACCTAACCTTTTGGTTACCAATTGTATTTTTAGCTGATCATTTACATTTTTTTAGGTTCATTTAAAATTTCCCTTTATTTTTTGTATTTAACATATCATAGTTAACTTTTTACAATTTTATAGTCAACGAGCAGACGACATCAGATGGCAACAAAGGATGTGAGAGAGCGAAATTGGCCTTTGAATGTCTTAAAAAGAACGCACCTATGGTAAGTTTGTTACGGATAAAACAAGTTTCAACGGGTTAGATGCACTGAGGAGCTTGATGGCGCAAGTGGTTAGCGCGTTCGGCTGCGATCGTTGAGCTTAAGCAACTTTTGCAGTGGTCGGTCATTGGATGGGTGACCAAAAATTACTAGCTCCTCCGTGCTTCGGAAGGCACGTTAAGCCGTTGGTCCCGGCTGTCGCATTATAAAAAAAAAGGTAAAAAAAATGCATGTCTGCATTATAAAAAAAAGGTAGAGTCCAATCATGAAAATAGATGAAAAAGGGTACCGCTCCAGCCGTCCTCACCAAGCCGGCCTGAATCCAATCCCCTATATAGTCCGTGGAGCCCTAGAACCCGCCTCACCAGCAGAGACATAACACTACCAAAAGGTAGTGTTATTTTACTGTAGTCTTAAGTAAGGTGGAGGTGATTCCTCACCCGTCTCGGGAAGAAACCGCAGGGCACCTCTAGTTTAGATATAAGAATCTGGTAGTTTCAGAAAAAATACTAGCAACATAATCAGCCGATGGACGTCCACTGCTAGACAACTGGACATATTATAGCTATCAACGGGATTGTTACCATGTACCTGTTGCAAGCGCCATGATCACGGAGTAAAAAACAAGGTACATGGTAGCAATCCCGTTAGAGCTATAATGTGTACCATGAAAGTTTAAAACATTAAATGGGACATATGCCTCGTCTAGGGATTTCCAAGCACAACGCTCCTTTTCGCATCCAAATGCTATACATTTATTATTTTTGTTTCCAGCATGGGTTTGACTTCGATATATGATGTGGGAGTTCCCTGCAAGTCACTGCACTCACCAACCGATGGGTATCAAGAGAAATGGAAATATAAACAAAAATACATAATAGCCTTGCTTAAATTTCATAGCAGGTTCTGTTATTTCTATGTTAAACCTTTGTTTTTGTTTTAGAACCACACTAGAGACATTAAATTAATTTAAAGTTTAGTTTAAAGTTGATACTCTCATCTTCTTTAGAATAAGATAAGATGCCATTTGGAAAAGCAGCAATAAGTTTATTTGACGTTTAAAGTGTACTCTTTGTCATTATTACCCTGAAAGATTAACACCACCCAAAAGCAGTGTGTGCTAAAAGTATAAAAGTTAAATATAAATTGTTTCATTAAAATTATGTTGTTTGTATTTTTATACTTCTTAGGTTAAAGAGCGCTATTATATAATTGAAATATATTTAATATGTATCTGTTATACTTGAAGTATTTACCATTTTATTACCTTTTCAGGTTTTTTTACGTAGAAAAGTAGAATGAGTTACAAGCTTTACTTTCACAGTAGAACTACTGCGAATTAGAAAGAAATACAATTAAACCTTCCTTTTCGTTTGGTTAATAGTATTAAACCAAATCCCCTTACCCCTAAAAACCCCTGCAACTATACTTACCAATACTAATGCAATACCAACAAAACTAAGTGTTAATTGTGTTCTTAAGGTTGGAGGTCATTCCCTAGATAAGGGCGTTCCCACAGAACACAGAAAGAGGTTAAAAGAGCCATCCAAGACAATTTGTACGGGAACCGATGTCGCCGGCTTGCCCCCACTACACTTCCACCTAATAGACGATAGCCAATCAAACGACCCGACATCAAACAATCGAACCAATTAACACTCACACCCGAGAGCAACGACGCAATCAGAACCAAGTTTTGGTCAATTTATGTGCTCAGGAGGCCTACTCTATTTCAACGAAAAACTAAATTTCGATCGAAATTTCGCACGTTTCTTACTCTTTTTCCTTTTTATTTCGAAAATTCGTTCGTCCAAAAATAGTTTGACAATTAAATTCTCCAAGCCTACTCTAATTCACAAAACTTTCAAACTAAAAGTTGAATTTGAGATATAACTGTTCAAAATATTAACCTCAAATTGACGAAATGAAAAGTGTTAGCTTTTGCATTTTCGTTTTGGAACTTTTGTTTAAATTAAGCCTAAAATAACTGCTAGAGTATTTTTAATCAAGGCTGCTTAGCATGAGGAACATGTTTTAGCATGTCAAATTAACAAATACAACAAATTTTATTTAATTATTATATTTCCAATATTTCAAAGTATTAAACGACAAATTCAGGTTGATATTTAATGAAGTGCATCAACTCAACTACAAAATAGTCGGCTAACACTGTCAAAGAAGGTTCTTTTAATGTCATCAAAAAATTTGTAGTAATGTAATATTGTTTCCAAGTAAAACAGTTAATCTAAAAGGTGGAGATAAAAGAACTCATAAACATGACTCATTCCATTCGTTCACGAAAATTGTTTGTGATTCCGAACTTTATTTGCGTGTTCGAAAATGAAATAGAGTAGGGTTATGGGCGAAATTTCGTTTAAATTCGTACGTTACCGAAATTTCGTTTCGGAGAAAAAGAGTAGAGCTCCAGGTCACGCTTAACTGAGGCGCGCCTGCCCCGCCAAGAAGGCCCTTCTCCTCACAACCTCTTTCTGTGTTCTGTGAGCGCTCCGATTCAAGCGAAAAATCGGCAATACCTTACCTCTCTTTAAATAATCATCTGGCGACCTTTTTGAAAGAGGAGCTTTGGCCGAAAGGTGTGGTGTTCTGGCGTTTTAAAGGCAGGCTACCTGACACCACTCCGTGTCAAACGTCGCCGACTAAACGTGTTATTTAGAATTTGTAATTATTTTATATTTCAGATCTATGTTAGACTATAAGGTATATATTTGTATGGGCCTACGATGCCTGAATACAAATAAAAAAATAAAAAAAACATATTTTTTGTTCAAGAGGAGTTCGATTGAGCAGGTGGTTAGCGCATTCGGCCCGCGATATCGAAAGTTAAGCAACTTTCGCAAAGATCGGTCGTTGGACGGATAACCAAAAATTTATTTTCACGAGCTCCTCCGTATTTCGGAAGGCACGTTAAGCCGTTGGTCCCGGCTGCATCTGCAGTCGTTATCACTCACAAATCCGCACTGGGCCCACGTGGTGGGTCACGGGCGAGGCTCTTATTTCATCCATAGGGAAGGTCCCCAGCAGTGGAGACATAAATAGGCTGATGATGATGATGATGATAATTATTTTGATTCCACAGCCTATCGCTCCCGATGGCGTCTTAAAAGTCCTTTTGGCCAATGCTGTGCCATACTCTTTAGTGATTTAGTTAGCAAGAGTCTAATATAAACCCTACAATCGGCTACGGGGGGGCCAATCGCCTAAAGGAAATGCTTTGGAAAACGCTAACGCTTACGATTTTATTTTGTTGCATTGGTAATAACAATATTAAAAAAAAATGAGCGTGAGGTATTCGAAAACCTCAGGCTGCTAGAATAACAATATAAAATCGTAAGCGTTAGCGTTTCCCTAAGCATTTCCCGTTAGGCGATTGGCCCCCTGGTATCCATGAGGCTATGGATCCGCACACCTACTCCTACAGTATAACAGTAAGGCGGAAAACAGTTTTCGACCGACGGTCGGCGCTGACGTCGATCAGGCGAAGCCACAGACTAGTTAGAGATACGAGGCGTAGCTAAATGTATGCAAATTAATATATGAATGCTCATACTGCTGCACTGATGCATTGCCCCACGTGTACAGCTACGTCGCACTGACAAACCGACGGTAACGGCTCGTCGGTCAATAGAGTCTGTGCGGAAAGAGAATGGGATTTAGATTGGAGGGTGCTGTAGTGCTTTTCTACCGTATTTGTAAGTTTTTACTCCTTTTAGACATGATTAAATACAAAAAACCGCAAGAAATCACAACAACAAACAAATCCGTATCAATACAAAACTTAGACGTTTTACAGATTGCTGGGTTTGATTGCCAAATAAAAATCTTAATGTTAGTTCCGTTTTTCGCCACGCCCATTCTCTTTCAGCACAGACACTATCAGGCATACGTCGGTCGACTGACGACCTATGAGATGGTATGAACATATTTCACCACTTTCTGATAAAGCCCTCGGTATTTGATTCAGAACTAATTGATATGACAGATAAAACTAAAAAAGGTAACGCAGGTATATGTATTTATTATACAGTATTACAATATATAGATAATTAGATAACAGCAAAAGTTGAGGGTCTACACGGATGGTTCAAAAACCAACTGCGGGACAGGTTCGGGTGTCTTCTCCGAAGACCTAAATATACACATCTCAACAGCATTGGGAGCACATAACACAGTCTTCCAGGCAGAGTGTGTGGGCATCATTAGAGCCGCATAGGCGATAGACTGCCGCGGGGTAAGAGGAAAACATATTAGTATTCTCTCTGACAGCGCTTCTGTCCTACAGGCACTAGACAACAATATAATGACATCAGGGTTAATTTACGAATGCCACTGTAAGTTATCCAATATTTGTAATGACAATAGACTGACCTTACAATGGATTAAGGGACACAGCGGCTCAAGGGGTAACGATGCGGCTGACTGCCTGGCTAGAGAGGGGTCCAGCAGGACGGCCATTGGCCCGGAGCCAATTGTACCCATACCTTATCGACAGCTGAGAACCTGGATATGGGAGCGCTGTCAACGACAACACGATGAATATTGGGCAAAACACACTGACTGCAGGCAAGCTAGGGAAGCCGTTCCTAAGGAAAACCAGCAGCTATCACGTAAGTTAATCCGACTACCTAGACAAGCCCTGAAACAAATCGTGGGTATACTCACGGGTCACGGCTACTTCAACAAACACCTTTATAATATAGGTATTTCTGACAGCCCTCTGTGCAGAGCCTGCTTGGAGGAAGAGGAGACGAGCGTCCATGTTCTGCTGGAGTGCAGAGGCGTTGCAAGACAAAGGACTTCTCTAATGGGAAGCCCGCGGACACTAGTAGAAGCCTGCAGCAACATCCGGGGACTGCTGAGCTTTTTGGAGGAGCTGGGATGGCAGGACTGATGCCAATCCCCACGCAAAATAGGCACTGGGTGTCGAGTTGCGGAAACAGCCCGCCGTTCTACTAAGACTAGATAACAGCAACTTTAAATACTACCTAATGTATAAAATTTGAAATAAATATACTTAACCTAGTCAGGAATATTAGTGAATGTTTTAAAAAAAGATTTAAATTAGTTAAACGTAAATTCAAAGTGAATCTGATTAAGTGGATAACGAAAGGTATCATAATATCGAGCAAAATGAAACGTTTTTTAATGTTGGCTCATAAGTCAACTTATGATAAATCAGTTTTGAAATATAGAAAGAAATATATTAATATCTATAGACGTGTAATCAGAAGTGCACACAGGTTAGCTGTAAAAGCGGAAATAAAGAAAGCTAATTGCTCTAAGGCTATTCGGAAAATTGTAAATAGGCATAGAAATAAAATTAAAAGTGGTAGTCAGGAAAAATTTGTTCTCATAGATAACAATAAATTAGTACACATTTAATTAGAAAGGCGTTTGAAAACACGCAGAAAGGATCTACCACATCTGATCAAACCTAAACTTAAATTTAAATTCAAAATCGTATATTCAGTCTAGGCTGTTACAAGCACTTGTGAATGTCGAAAAGCTACGCCATCGATTCGCGAATCTACGGCGGCAGACCTTGTACTGAGAAGAACCGGCAAGAAACTCAGCAAGGGCTGTTTTTTCTCTCTGTATTATATACAAAGTCGTCAAATTGAAACATTACTTCAATATGAGATAACTCATGAAGTCACTTTCCAAATTTTTTTAATGTTGTTAAACTTGGTTATAGGTACCAGGTGGTCGAAATTTTTAATAGGCTTCCAATCAGTTTGAAATCGATTTTTGACTACAAAACTTTTCAAAACAAATTGAGGGACTTCTTGTTGAAGAAATGTTATTACAATGTTCACGAATTTATGAGACAGGACTAGGTTGACATGTTTATATATTTTTTTATCTGGATTTTATCCAATTTGACATCGTGAATTTGTATTTTTTCTTTTTGCTTATTAATTGTAATAATCCAATTTGACATCAAAATTTTGTAATTTTATTGCTAAGTTATTTTTTTTATGTCTGCTTTTATTTTGTATTATTATTTCCAACACAATTATATTGTTTAATGGAATAAATGAATTGAATTGAATTATATCTAATTTATAATATAAAAAATATGTCACTCCAAGCGCCGCCGCGGCGCCGACAGGATTGGTGCCCAATAGGCTAGCAGCATTGTCACTTTGAATGGCAAGAAATACACAGGTACGGTATACAAATATGTAACCATTTGGTCCTCCAAAGAGTGTTATTTATATTTTTCTATTAAATACAAGAGCACCCTTTCATATCCTAAAATCTATCATTTGGACTTGACGGGCATGATGGACTTAGGTGAATGAAAGAGTGTACAGTATCTATCACTAGAGCCATTGCAGTAGATGCAGGGAAATGGAAAGAAACAATGACAGATTTAAAGTAACACAAATATATCAATTTAATTATAATGTTTAAGACAGATGAAAACTTATCTAAAATTTTATGAAGAACTAGGCATTGGTATCGATTCTGGCGTGATTCTCTAAACTTAAAACTAAATTTATCAGTCTCTTCTTTTCGTTCCGTATAGAGAATGACAAGGATACACTTTTGTCAAATTTAAGTTTAGATTTAGAGAATCGTGCCAGAATCGACACCACTGGCTCCCAATATTTTAATATGTCTTACCTTTAATTTGTTAATGATAGATGCTATGCAAAGAAACGTGCAGCCCAAATCCAATTATTATGACCCCAATCCCATGAACCCAATCTATAGCGCTTTGGTAGCTTTAGGAATACTGCTGCAGTACCTTGGAAGCGTTGATTCTTAAGGCACCTCAAAAAAAACGCTGAGGCATATTTCTCTTAGCATGACGCGCAAAAAAGTAACTACACTTCTGGACACATCTATTGGGTAATAAGGTGGGCACCTTGTATTTTCAGTTTCGTTTGGTCCTTTATATTAGGTCGAGCAAAAAGTTTTTATGCAGTTTTGAACCTGGCACATTCACAATTTCATTCAATAGTCTTTTTTTGAATTTCGAACACAGAATTTAAAGAAACAAAAGACAATTTGGAGCCTGTTTGTTGATATCAAACAATCGAATACTTAGAAGACTTGGTTTTATTGGTTTACTTGGATTTAATTCTTGAAAAAGTGATTGATATCTTTGGTTTTGCAACAAACATTACTTATTCTTAACATTAAGGTGAGGTTCTATCAATAATCTATGGATACTTCACCTGAAGTCGCCGCCCAAGCTGTGGCACTTATTCAGGCCGGACACAGCCAAAGAAACGTGAGTGCTCAACTTAATTTAAGTCGATCTGCGGTCCGAAATATTTATCGGAGGTACCTAGAGACTGGCGGCTTTGTTCGTCGCCAAGGAAGGCCACGATCTCGGGTCACAACTGAAAGGTAGGATCGATTCATCGTGACGACCAGCTTGAGAAATCGTCACCTTACCTCCATTGAGATACAAAAACAAATTCGCGACTTCCACGGAGTATCTGTGAGCGCTCGAACTGTTCGGAGAAGGTTAAAAGAATGCGATATGGTACCACACAAGCCAGCTAATGGGCCCAAACTAACGCGAGCCCACCGAACAGCGCGCCTTCATTTCGCACGCAGTCATTTAAATTGGACACAGCAAGATTGGAGCCGTGTACTCTTTTCTGATGAGTCTAAAATTGTGTTACATGGCAATGATGGAAGCAAGAAGGTCTACCGACGTAAGGGAGAGCGTTTCGCACAATGCTGCTTTGAAGAGAGGGTTGCTTATGGCGGTGGCTCATGGACTATCTGGGGCGGTATATCTGTGAGCGGCAAAACTCAACTTGAGGTTGTTACGGCTGCCAACATTAAATGCTGAAAGGTACATTCGTGAGTGCTTAGAACCTCACGTGATACCATACGCGGACTATGTGGGGCCCAAATTTCCTTTTTATGCATGATAATGCAAGAGCCCATGCGGCCGGCATCGTCAGGGAATATCTTCGGGATGTGAACATCACAGTTATGGACTGGCCAGCCAGAAGCCCAGACATGAACCCCATTGAGCACATGTGGGACGAGCTAAAAAGACGTGTTAGGGCTCGTCAGTCAGTTGCCCAGACGATGCAGGAGTTGAAAACTGCCATAGAAGAGGAATGAGAGATGATTCCTCAGAATTTCATAGAGCGGTTGATAAACTCTATGCCTAATCGTATGAGAGCTGTGGTAGATGCCCATGGAGGCAACACGCGTTATTAAATTTAACCTTTATTTGATAAAACATGTTTTTTATTCAAAAATCAATTGCCTTTAACAAGGCGCATATCCGACTTGTTAGGCGTAGTTCCATGTCGTATGGTATTCTGAATTCAAATTTAAAACAATACGATCGAAAAAGATGGTAAAATGTATCAGGTTTAAAACTGCATCAACAGTTTTTGTTCAATCTAGCAATCATATTTCGGTAGGGGCCATCGAAACCTAAACTCTAAGGTGGGCCAATATATGTGTCCAGAAGTGTATTAGTAGCTCTAGCATGACTACCGAAACGGGATATGATAAAGCGATATATCGGCATTAACTGTCAGACTACTGTCAAACTCCACTGTAGTCTGACATTTCATGCCGATATATCGCTTTATCATATCCCGTTTCAGTGGGCATGCTAGAGGGGCTGGGCTTCAATGGCTTACTTTAAATTGAGAATATTTGACATATAATACGTGCTCTAGATGCAAATGGTTAAAAAATATTACCTATATTACTTTCCTCATAGTTTACCTAGTCATTTGCAGGTAGAGTTGCCAGCCTTACTATATAATATAGTATCCTACTACATTAGGGGATCAAATATTATATTAAAAAAAAAATAGTAGGCGAAACTAATATATTTTGCTTAAAGTAGACTTTCGCCAGTAAAAGAATTCTTAACAAAAAAAACTGAATTATTACGGTAAAGAGCAGCAAGAATATACTTATTTAAAAAATAAATATCCAGCTATCTTCGTGTTTGGACTTTATTACCACTTAACATCAGGTGGGGTACAGTCATTTGCCTACCTTTATATATAAAAAAAAATAGCCACATACTTTCTTCTTCTCCTTTCCCTTTCCTTTTTTTCCTCTTCTTTTCTTTTTTTTATATCTACTATATTTTTAGATGTAACAACAGCTTCGAAAAAGAAGCAACAATATACTTATATGAAAAATAAGGTAAAAATTTCAACCACATACAATAATTCTTTTCCTTTGTTATATCTACTATATTATTAAATGTAACAGCTTCGAAAATACTATATTTGATAGAAAAAAAGTTGGTTACCCGGTGTACAAATGGTTATAGTAAATGAAAACAGCTTTAGTGCAGTTTAACTAATATTTATTATCAATGCAACTAAATCTAATATAATACTTATGTCCACAATTCAATGATGCTATTTTAAAATCTAAGTTCGTCGTCGTTTGCTACATTTCATTTTCAAAATCTGCATTCATTTCCTCCCTTAAAAGTCAAACTGAAACAAAAGAGATAAATGAATTAAATAAATTTTGTAAAATCCTTAATTCAGATACCATTAAAAAATCTAGGCTGAATATAATTTTTGTAATGCCAGGATTTTTTTTTATTACAGAACAGCTATGATACGAAACTGGTGAAATTTATTAAAGATAACAGCTATAGGCGGAGGAGCTCGATGACACAAGTGGTTATCGCGTTCGGCTGCGATCGTTGAACTTAAGCAACTTTCGCAGTGGTCGTTCAATGGATGGGTGACCAAAAATTACTATCTCGAGCTCCTGCGTACTTTGAAAGGCACGTTATGCCGTTGGTCCCGGCTGCATCTGCAGTCGTTAGCACCCACCAATCCGCACTGGGCCCGCGTGGTGGGTCAAGGCCCTATCTCCCTATTTCATCCATAGGGAAGGCCTGTGCCCCAGCAGTGGGGACATTAAAAGACTGATGATGATGATGATGAACAGATATAGGGTTATAGCTCAATAGACTGGAGTACAAATGCTCGTATTCATCACACAAACATCTACCCCCACCGGGACTCGAATCTCTTGAGTATGCGACACCTTTGATAGAATGAACTTTATCAAGACGGACGGGTAAAAGTAAATACTTCTATTATTCAAAAAAAAAACAAATAATAAACCTTGGATAAGTTGTCAGTGAAGCAGCTGAACAGCGCTTTAGCGCGTTCGCAGGCCTTCTCGTCATCGGTTAGGTCGTTCACTGAAAACAAAATAAATAAATTTTTGACTAGGTACTTTGTTGCAAATACACTCTTAATTTTGTGTATTCTGAGAACTTCAACTTAACTAGCTATTTCAGGTCTAAAGGTCATCTGCGACCAACAGCATACAGACTAAAAAACCAATTATGAAACCTTAATAATTTTAATTGTTATAAATTGATTCAAATAAAAATACTTTTATGATCTACGTAGTTTAAATGGATAATATGCTTTAAATCCATAACATCGTTATCCACCAAACCGCACTGGGCCCGTGTGTTGGGTCATGGCCCAATCTCCCTATTCCATCCATAGGGAAGGTCTGTGCCCCAGCAGTGGGGACATTAATAGGCTGAACTGTCATGTTTTACTGGCCAAATAAATTAAGTAGTAAACTCATATCTGTGGTGGAATAAAACAATGGAACGATCTTTTAGTCCGAAGCATGGCCACCAAGGAGTTACCTAACTTATCAAAGGTTTTTAAAAGTTTCTCCATCAATTCCGCGTTTGCTGGCCACTGCAGTAATGTGCGCGATAGAGGAGGAGGCTAGCGCAAGTGGATACCGCATTCGGCCGCCATCGTTGAAGTTATGCAACTTTCGCAGTGGTCAGTCATTGGATGGGTGACCAAAAATTAACTATCTCTAGCTCCTCCGTGCTTCGGAAGGCACGTAAAGCCGTTGATCGTTAACACCCCCCAATCCGCACTGAGCCCGCGTGGTGGGTCATAGTCCAAGCTCCCTATTCCATCCATAGGGAAGGCCTGAGCCCCAGCAGTGGGGTCATTAATGGGCTGATGATGTATGTACTATTATTTTTATTATTACATTACCTTTGGAGCATGTGTTAATGAATTCTTCCACAGTTTTGATCTCATTGCCGTCCTTGAATATTTTCTTGGCGTGCTCCAGCGCCGTCTCGTGTGAAAGGAATCCCTTATCATCGAACTGCAATCATTAAAGTCAATCATTATTATTATTATACAGTTTTGAAACTCAAAGAAATCACAGACAACTCATAATTATATTTAAGCAAAATAGAACTGAGTAAATTGTTCTTTAAATCTCTCAAACATGAAACATTACATACTTTACAATCACGGAACATTGATATGTATAACTTTATAAGAATTAGAGTCCCATATAATTAAAGGGAAACTTGCATTTATTTTGCAAGAAATCAACTACTCGTGAATTGTAAATATAGAACAACATGAGAACGGGCGCTTTCATTAAAGTTATTTGTGTTTAAAAAAATCTCGTTTTGAAAATGTTGTCATTTTTAAGGTATGGCATAGACTTTATCGCGGGCTTAGAGCGCGGCGACTGAATCAAGAAATTCCGTAACGAAAATAACCAACGCTCGACGCATCACCGCGGTCGTCGGTTCAAATCGCACTCGTATTTTTTATTATGTTTTTTTTATATATTTGTTTTAGACCCCAGCACCTGTTCTTATTTTTATTTGTCTCCCTTTTATTTAGACTTTATTATTATAATTAAAATTTTTGGACTAAAGATGGTAAACTGTGGAGCTTGTGGAAGTTTTTTGGCGCCGGCCAATGCTGTTGTTTGCTGTGCTTGCCCAATAAAATATCATAAGGCCTGCCTCGCCATTCAATTAATATCAAAGAAAAAAACTTGAATTGATATCAAAGAAAGAAATAAATACTGCATAAATAAAATAATTATAATTGCGTAAGTTGATAAATAATGCTATGCAATAGCTTTACCGCGGCAGTCCCCGAGTGCCACACGTATTTTTTTATATACGAGGCGCAACTAATTTTTCCACTCCACCTGGAGCCCAGTCGCGAAGATAGATGATGCGACAGAAAATGTGCCGTTCCAGCCATCCCCACCTTGCCGGCCTGAATTCAATCCCCTCACCTCACTGGTACCCTACTCACTGGCAGAAAAACAAAACACTACCAAAAGGTAACGTAAGGTGGATGTTGTTGATGGGCGCTCCAATTCGAGCGGGAAATCCGCTGTGCTCTGTCTGTCTTAAAAGGTACTGACTGCTCCAGCCCCTCTAGCATGACCACCGAAACGGGATATGATAAAGCTTTATATCGAGTCTCAACTGTCAATTTCCACTGTAGTCTGACAATTAATGCCGATATATCGTTTTATCATATCCCGTTTCGGTGGTCATGCTAGTAGGGCTGGTGCTAGCATCGGGTAAAATCCGATGCATTATACTGTCTAAAATCTAGTTACTTACGAAAGATATGTTCCTCAAGACACAAGCAGTGAAACAAGGCGCATTTTCCCCAGCAGGGAATTTCCTCTGCTTGAAGTTCTGAATGTCCTCCTCGGATAGAGGGTGGTCTTTGACGCATGTCTCGCCGACCTCAATGAACTTGGCTTGGATCTCAGCTATCTGCTCGTTGTTGATCGCCTGAAAATTTTAAAACAAATCACTCAAACACAAGTTCGTTTTGAAAATATCTCTCCAACTCAATGTGAGTAACTCTCCATGCCTAAGTTAATTTATTTATGTTAAAAGCAAGCTGATGGTAAGCGGCCACCATAAAATTAAAATAAAAAATCATTTATTCAGTCTCTAGGCAAGGGCTTGTAAAGATCAAGAAGCTACGTCATCGGTTCGCAAAACTGCGGCGGGATCCCTTGTAAGAAACGGCAAGAAACTCAGCAAGGGCTGTTTTTTCCTCCCTGTATTGTTATGTACAGAGTCGTCAAGTTGAAAAATCTAATTTATGACTTCAGTGATACTTCTGCAGTCGCCTTTCATTACATCATTTAGAATATAGATATATTGTTACAATACATTTTTAGTTAACTTTATATGTAGTATATAGGAAGCGGCATCAGATAGGCACCATATTACTGTTATGAAAAATGACTAATACCCATCAATTAACAAATTTTAAGAAACACTATGTCCATGCATTAAGATCATTTAAATAATCATCAAATTTATTATTCATAAGAATATTCTTGACCTGAGATTTAAATTTGGTCAGTGGAAGCTCAATCAGATCCTGTGGAATTTTATTAAACAATGCAATAACACACACAATAAAACACTCGGCAAATTTAAAAAATACATATGTCTAGGTATATCAATATCACGAGGTCATCTATGGACAAACTTCAAACAATATGGAGAAACAGGGATATCACAAAAGCCACGAAAACACTACTCGTCAGGGAATTAGTGTTTCCCATATTCCTCTACGGTGCTGAGACGTGGACCTTGCGAGAGAGTGAGAAAAAGAAGGTAGCCGCTCTAGAAATGTGGTGCTGGAAAATGCTTGGCATACAGTGGACACAGTTTCGAACCAAAGCATCCATCCTTCAGGAACTGTCCATCAAACAATGTCTTTCTTCCATCATACAAGATCGTATTCTCACTTTCTTTGGCCACATTTTACGCCGAGAAGATGCGTCAGTGAAACGACTGGTGGTGCAGGGCAAAGTCGAGGGCGTAAGGGTGCGCGGCAGTTCACCAATGCGCTGGACCGATCAGATCACACAGGCACTGAACGGACAGAGAAAGGATGCAGTGCAGGAAAAATGGCGGCGTATTGTGAAGCGCGCCACTAACCCTGATATGACGACCACGACCACCCAGTCAAGAGTGTAGCGCCGAAGTAGAAGAGGTATTAAGACAATCCGAAAGTATGAAAAATGTTTCTACTTAGTAAAACAAGCAGTCACTTGACAAGTTAAAGGTCGTGCATTCGAATAATGTTGTACGTTTGATCTGATGATGATTATAAACATATTATATGTGAGGTTAACAAAATGAAAACATAATGAGAAAGAAAGGAGGACAAACCACTATCGTTGGCAATTATAATCATTTTAAATTTAAATTAAGCTAGAGCATTTTGTAAGTTGCGTTACTTGTGAGTAAACAACCTTTAGGTCGATTTAACAAACATTAATAATAATGACATTAAATAAGAATATTATAGAAATGTTTAATATCTACCCAACCTATTGTTGGTAGGTAGTATAGGTTGGTAGCAAATTAAGTTAACCAAGTGCGCACTGAACACTTACCAAGACTAACTCCGAAAAGCTAGCGATCAGAACGAAACTCGCACAGATTTTGAACATATTTGATTAGGTGCTTGATTGACTTGTGTTAAACAACTGACAATCGGCAATTATCAGCGCACTTTTATATGGAGTTTTTCGCCAAGTCAATATCCTGGGAGAGGGCCTTCATTTGACACGCTTGAAATTGATTGGATTAAGTGTTGTTTCTTTCAGTCATAGTGGTTGATGACAATTTGAAGAGGCACAAAGGATCGTGACACGGTGTTTCTTGATAGGCGACGGCCATGACTGGTAATGTTTACAATGGAGCCGTGATAACGCTAGACACTTGCAGTTTTGTTGATGTCTAATTTCGGTTCTTTGAATAATTTATTTCATTTTTAGGATCCTATACCTGAATCGGCGAAAACGGAACCTTATGGGATAATAAATAATAATAATAATAAATATTTGCAACACTCACACCAATTAGCCTAGCCCCAAAGTAAGCACTATAAGGCTTGTGTTATGGGATACTAGGGTAACGGATAGAATACATATACTGTACTTAAATAAGTATATTTTTATAGAATTACGTATTAAACATCCATGACTGGAGTACAAATGCTCGTATTCATCACACAAACATCTGCCCCCCACCAGGATTCGAACCCGGGACCTCTCGAGTCGGCGACACCATGAAACCCGGCGTACAAACCACTCGGCCACGGAGGTCGTCAATATGGATCACTCGGTTATTGACAGTGATTTGCTCTGAATCTACTGGACCGATCAAATTGAAATTAGGTGCATACCATGTGTGCTTACGCTCCAAACAAAAAGTAAATATATAACTTCCAATATGATATTTACTTTTGGGTTTTGAATAAGAAAATAACTAAAAGGACATTGAGCAAAGTACACCCAGCTCCGCCAGCGATGTAATCGCTATGCGAGATATATGAAAAAAATAGGTTTTTTGAGATGAGGAGCTCGATAGCGCAAGTGGTTAGCGCGCGTTCGGCTGCGATCGTTGAAGTTAAGTAACTTTCGCAGTGGTCGGTCATTGGATGGGTGACCAAAAATTTACTATCTCGAGCTCCTCCGTGCTTCGGAAGGCACGTTCAGCCGTTGGTCCCGGCTGCATCTGCAGTCGTTAGCACCCGCCAATCCGCAAATCATGGCCCAATCTCCCTATTCCATCCATAGGGAAGGCCTGTGCCCCAGCAGTGGGGACATTAATAGGCTGATGATAATGATGAGGTTTTTTATTATGGCACCATAAAGCAATATCCTTGTGAAATGGTCGATAGATATACACATGGGCAGATTGATGTAGCTTAATAAATTCATTCAGTAGTGCCTTCATTTTGTATTATTAGTAGGCATAATAAATAAATAAATATTTATGTTTTTATTTATTTTTAAGCATTTAACTGCTAGATGTTTAAATCTATAGAAAAGTTTTACTAGAAAAAAAACCACGCGGACCAGGCTGCGGACGGGACTCGAACCCGCACCCTTCGCAATCCGGGCGAATGCACTGACCAATTATGCTACCACGGCCCTGATGGCCGCGTCGAAATTTTCCTAGCCTTAAGCTGCAAGGCAGCGCCATTTCTTCGCATTGTAGGTAACCCATAATATCAAATGAATACTTTTTCAAGTATTAAACATTTGAAAGAAGAAATAGCAATTATATAGGTAGTTATGTTTTTATTTATTTTTAAGCATTTAACTGCTAGATGTTTAAATGTAAAGAAAAGTTTTATAAAAAAAAAATAATTGGTCAGTGCATTCGCCCGGAATGCGAAGGGTGCGGGTTCGAGTCCCGTCCGCTGCCTGGTTCACGTGGATTTTTTCTAGTAAAACTTTTCTTTAAATAAATATTTTCATCACTCACACCAATTAGCTTAGCCCCAAAGTAAGCTCTGTAAGGCTTGTGTTATGGGATACCAGGTTAACGAATAGAATACAAATACTGCCCCTCTAGCATGACCACCGAAACGGGATATGATAAAGCGATATATTGACATTAATTGTCAGACTACAGTGGAGTTGTCTGACTGGTGGTCGTGCTAGAGCGGCTGAACTTAAATAAGTAAAGTTATATAGAAATACATATTAAACATCCACGAATGGAGTACAAATGCTCGTATTCATCACACAATCATCTGCTCCCACCGGGATTCGAACCTGGGACACCATGAAACCCAGCGTACAAACCACTCGGCCACGGAGGTCGTAAATAATGTGACTCATATCATACTATACAACCATTCATTCATTCATTCATTTTCATTTCATTCATTCAGATAATGCTACAAAGCCTGCCGACCATCCTGCGCTTGGATTTAGCGAGACGCTTTAGAACGGTTTACGGGGTAAGGATACGGAGATTTATCATATCTCTCAAAATTTTAAAATATATTATATCTCCGAAACTACGGCGTCAAAAATTTGTAAAAAATAAGGAATGTAGGTCTTTGCTTGTAGATTACAGGAATATCTATAAGAAGTTTATAGTTGTCTGGTTTTCGTTTCTTTCGCTTTCAATATAAACTGGAACTCTCTTAGGTTCGTCTATTCTGTCAATGAATTTTACTCAAAACAAGCTTAAACCACTGACCTTTTTTTTTTAAGAATGATAGTTCGATATTTTATTTCAAATATTGTACCTTTTTCCTTATTAAAACATGATTGCTCGTTCTTTTACAGATTTTTCTATCCCATAGTTTCGGATTCCTTTCAGACTTTGAGGTTTGTGACCACGAAGACTGATGTTAGTCAGCTTTTTATGATTTTCCTTGTAGGGACACAGTATTGTCAACTAAGCGTTTAATCTACGTGTGGTGCGACGACGAGCGATTGAGCCAGTCGCCCGCTGTAGTCCCCTTAGTTCGCAGTTCGCACGTATACATATATACATAAAAGTAAATAAACAAAAAAATGCAAATAAATAAAAACGAAACTCACAAAAAACAAAAGAACAGACACTTGAAAATTTACGTGTTTCATTTTCGAATTATTATTACAAATTTCTGGCAGTCTCATTGTAGCTGTGAGTTCAAAAAGAAATGCATACGTACAGTTTGTATATAAAGTCGTAACATTAATGTTTGAGGAACTAACATTATTCATGTGTCTGACAACACCAAACTTATGTGCATCAGCTCAGTTCAGCAGTTTCAGTTGTGAAAATATTATTTTTTTATTTGGTAATTACCGAGCAATCTCTCCCTTATACCGTGTCTCTCTCACTACGGGATATTGGCGAAATTTCTGTGTGAAACGGAAACAGCCACTACTGTAATACTACTGTAATAAATTAAGACGAAACTACGCAGAAAGGTATAAAAATGAGTAAAGGAAATCGGAGTGGCACGCGAG